AGATAGCGGGGGCGGGGCGTGGGGTCGTTCCTGCTGCTCCATGGGCTGGGTGGGGGATGTAGAGCCGACCATGCCACCTAGTGTCCCTGCGCGGCTCTGCCCTTCGGTTATGCCACCACTTTCTCCGCCCTCCTGACGGTTTGTGCCCAAGGGCGCCGTGCCGCCCGCTCACTGCTGTGCGTATCTTCGCTCCTGGTCACTTGGTTCCTGTCGCCTGCAATACAAAGAAGTCCGAGAACCCGTACCTCCTCTTTGGAGATTTTCTCCCCCAGGCTTTAACTGCCACCACTGCTGTCCTACCTGCACCCTCCGCTCGCTTTACTCCCCACCAGAGCTCAGAAGCAGTGAGCTCTCCCACTACTCCTTCTCAACTTACGCCCTATTTTTCTGTTACAAATTTTTTCTTTGATTTTATTTTTCTTTGTCCCCCCCGGTGTGATGCTCACTGGCTGTTGGGGCTGATGTGTGGTAACTGCGCAAAGGTAATGGCTGTATCCAAAAACAAAAACAAGAAAACTAATAATTTCTTGAGGGCTGATTATGTGCCAGGCATTGTTCTAAGAACTTAATTTATATAGTCGTATTTGGTGTTTACATCAATACGTAGGGTAGATAACAACATGCCACAACGAAGAAACTGAGGCACAGTTTACCCAAGAGCAGTTATCGTGAAATACCGTAGAGTCCTTGACAAAATAGCATTAACTTACAAGCATTTATTTCTAGCTAAATTATTTAATGACACAATAATTTACTCTGATAAAATTAATAAAAATCCGAGCACGAAGAGGTGAAAACCTAATAAGAAGAAAACTTTGCCCTCAGGGAGCTTAGAGTTTAGCTGATGACATAGACTTTTAAAAATAATTTATTCCAAAAATTTATGTTGAAAAAACACCCCGAAGAGCCAACACAATACCAAAAAAGAGAAATAAACTCAGAGGCCTGTCAGTACCTATCTTAGTTTGGCCTCCTATAACAGATTACCATAGACTGGGTGGCTTAAACAACAGACAGGTATTTCTCGTAGTTCTGGAGGCTGGCAAGTGCAAAATCAAGGTGCTGGCAGATCTGGGGTCATGCAGGGGCCCACTTTCTGGTTTGCAGATGGCCATCATCCCATTGTATCCTCACATGGCAGAGGAGAGAGAGAGGGAGGAAGAAAGCTCTCTTCTGTCTATTCTCCTAAGGGCACTGATCCCAATGTGAGGGCACTACCCACATGACCTGATTATCTCCCAAGGGCCCCATTTCCAAATGCCATCTCACTGGGGGTTAAGCTTCAACATAAAAACTTTGGAAGG